TAAAGAATTAAGAGGATTTTTGGGCCTCACTTAGTATTATCACAGGTTCATTAAATGATATGGAACTATTACGAAACCATTGACTGATTTATTGAAAAAAAATGCCATTAATTGGCAAGAAATAGCAACAACAGCTTTTGAGAAGCTCAAGCAAGCTGAAATATCAGCTTTTATTCTAGCACTACCAAATTTTAACTCAATTTTTGTAGTTGAGTCAGATGCTTCAAGTTGTGGAATTAATGCTATGTTAAGTCAAAACAGTAAGCCAATTGCTTATTTTAGTGAAACTTTATCTCTTAGACATTAGGCATTGTCTGTTTATGAAAAAAAGATGTTGGCCACATTAGCTTAGTGAAGAAATGGAGTGCTTATTTAACTGAAAGGCATTTTCAGATAAAAACAGATCACCAAAGTTTCATATTTTTACTGGACCAGAAAAAAAATATGCCTACTCAACAACTTTAGGTTGTCAAGATGATGTGATTTAATTATGAACTTGTCTACATGAAGGGTTCTACCAACATGGCAACCAATGCTTATTCTCGAAATCCTAGAGCCTTGTTATATGCTTTATCTTTTGCAACTAATGATCTAATGACCACGATTAAACAGTCTTGGTTGAAAGATCCAATATTGATATATTTGTTTCATAAGCTTAAAAATAAACCAGGACAGTCTCCTAAGTACACTTGGTAACCAGGTCAGTTGAGAAGGAAGAGAAAACTTATGGTGGGAGCTGATTTTGAGTTAATGAAGAACTTATTGACATTTTTTCATGATTCAGTGGATGAAGGGCATTCTGAGTAAAGGCAACTATGAAAAAAATAGCTAATGTGGTATATTGGAAATGAATTTTAAAGGTAGTTTGACAGCATGTCAGAGAATGCACAATTTATCAAAAATACAAATATAAAACTATCTCTTCAGGTTTGTTACAACCTTTACCAATTTCGAATAAGATATGAGTTGATATGTCTATGAGTGCCTAAGTCATTTGGGAAAGATGTTATAATGGTGGTAATGGATAGGTTAAGTAAATATGCACATTTTATCACTCTAGCTCATCTTTTCAATGCATTACAATTGTTCAAGCCTATTTAGATAATGTGTACAAGTTGTGTGAAGTACCAAATACCATTATTTTTAACAAAGATAGGATTTTCACCAGTTCATTTTGGAAGGAATTGTTCAAATTATTGGGAATCAAGCTAAAAATGTCTACTACTTATCACCCTCAAACAAATGGACAATCTGAAGTTCTCAACAGATGTTTGAAGACATATCAAATGTGCATGATAAGAGAACAACCTAAGCAGTAATCCAAATAGATCTCTTTAGCATAATGGTGGTATAATACTAGTTTTCACATTTCTATTCAGACTACACCATATGAGGTAGTCTATGGTCAACCTGCTTCCATTCATCAACCATATCTACTTGAAGATTTTAAAATGGACAAAGGGGATAGAAGTTTGAAAGTGATGGAGGCCATAATCAAAATTTTAAAATTTTATTTGGCGAGGGCTTGAAATAGAATGAAGCAGCAAGCTAACAAACATAAGGTTGATAGGTAATTTGAGATTACTGATTTAATTTATGTTAAACTCGAGCCATATAAACAACAATCTATCATCAATAGGTCTTGCTTTATGCTAGTTGCTAGGTACTTTGGCCCTTATAAGGTGTTGGAGAAGATAGAACCTGTCGCCTACAAACTAGAATTACTTGCTAAAGCCAAATTCATTCTGTCTTTCAGTTTCACAGTTGAAGAAGCACATTGGGAAGGTTTCAAACATAATATACTTTCCTATGATTGATGCAGATGAAATGGTGGCCAAAGAACTAATGGTGGTTCTAGATAAAAGATTGAGTAAGAAAAGAGGTAGAGTAATCGTAGAGGTTCTAGTATAATAGAGTAATAGTTACCCAAAAAATACAATCTAGGAAAGATTATATGAGCTACAAAAAAAGTTTCCCTGCTTCAATCCTTAAAGACAAGGATTATTTCAAGAGGGCAATAATTGTTACAAGTTGAATCGAAGAAGGCTAAGTTAGGCCACGTTAGTTATTTAAGTCATTTATATTTTTTACAATCAGTATATATGAGTCAGCATGTTAGTTATTTTGTTAAAAAATTGACAGTTGGTGTAACAATAATTACATAATGAATACAAAAGAGGTGGTTATAGGAGGAAATACAATTTTTGCACTCATTTTCTACATTCTAAAATTTCTTTTTATCTCTTTTATTTCTTCTCTCTTATCTCTATTTTTGAAATTTTAGCTATTGAAATCTTGAGTTTTCATAAAGGAGCTTGAGTTGATAGTAGCTCAATTGAACAACATCATTAAAGATAAGAAGAAGAAACAAAAGAAAAAAGGAGAATCAATGATTAAAAGAAGAAGAAAAAAAAAGAATAAAAGAGCTTGAAACAAGTAGTTTAGGATTTTGAAAAAAAAAAAAAAAAGAGCTGCCAACTAGGATCCACCAACCTAACCCAACCCAAATAATATCTGAGCCTGAATTGTGACCTACCCCAGAAAGTTAGGCTACCAGACTTGGACCTTTTTTATTAGTTCTTTGGATTCAATTTCAAAGGCTTCATATGGGTATATGTCTCTTTCTCTATTTTCTTGTTTATTATTATTTTTTATGTCATCACATTTAATCGTTTTAATGTTTGTTAATATGTTTTTATGATTTGTAAAAAAAATAAAACTAATAAATATATGCATCTTTGAAGATTAATTTGCATGTGGATGATTTATGTTATTGATAAAATAAAAAGAGATTTGAACAAAAATTAAAGTGTAAAAAATTTATGGTTAAAAAATATATGTTTTTCATTTTTAAAAAAAGAAATAAATAATAGAATAATATTTTCATGTAAAAATATGGTTTTGGAATCTTTACCTAGATATTAGTGGGAATTCAAATAATTATTTTTTGCAAAGAAATATTATTTTTGTAAAAAAAATATTATTATTTGAATTTCAAGTGAAAGATCAATTTTTTAATTCCACCTAACTATTGAAGTGTTAAAAAAATAATAAAAATAAAAATAAATATTTTTAATACCAAAAAATGCCATTTTCATCCTAAATGACATGCATCATTTAATTTATACTCATATTGTCATATATGGATTTTATGCATTAATAATAAATGTGGCCAAAAAAGTTATAATTTCAAAAAATATATATATTCTACAGAAAATAAGATAATATTTCTAAAAAAAAAAATTTTGGAGACTATGTCTAGGTAATGGAGAAAATTTAAATAATGTTTTTACTAAAGAACATAATGTTTCTTAAGTGAAAGATTAATTTTCTTAAATTTCACTTAAATATTGAAAAATTAAAGAAAATCTTCCAACATAAAATAGATAAATGAAATAATTAAATCTTTTTTTCACTTGAACCTTTTAATTTGTATCTGTATCATGTTACATTATATATTTTATTATTGTCAAAAGATGTGAATTAATAAATGATGATTTTGGAAAATTGTTTTTAAAATAAAAGATAATATTTCTAAATAAAAATAATTATTAGGATCCTATCTAAATATTAAAGGTTTTCTCAATAATTATTCTTTATAAAAAAATATTACGCCAGATTTTAAGGATTATTATGAGAATCTAAAGTAAAAAAATATTTTTTGAAATTCTACCTAGATATTAAGGAATTCAAAATGTTTTTCAAAACTCAATATTTTATTCCTAAGCAAAATCTCTTAAACAAAATTTTTCAAAAATAAATGAATTAAAGGAATTATTTTTAATATTTAAGTTAAGATCGTTTTTTTTAACAAAAAGATAATATGAGGTCAATTGGTACTATTTTTAAAATGAGAACTATAGGATGCTAATTCTTTTTTATGCGTAATCGTACTTTCGAACTTGATTTTTTTTTAGTAAACCTAAAAATTAATTTTTTTAAGTTTTAATTAATTTTAAAATTTTATTAAAATGGTAAGTTCTTTTTGAGTAACCAAGCACGTCTAATCAAAAATATTAGTGGTGACTTCTTTTTTATTTTAAATTTCATCTAATGACTCCAAAGTTGTTATGACATTTGATACACTATTAATGTAAAATTTTATTTCTATAAATAGGGTTAAGAAATTGACACATATCATGTTGTATTTTTTAATTAGAATTTTTTTTTTTAAATATACTTTAGGCAATATGTGTCATTTTACTAATCCTACTTATAAAATTTAAAAATTTTACTAACAATGAATAAAATAATTTCTCTTAAAAATAAAAAAAATAAAACATATATTAATCTCTTAATTTTTTATTGACAATATATATATATATATATATATAAACTCCATAAACAATGTGTTTTATTTCTTTGGGCGAATCGTGCGTGGTGCTTGTCTTCAAGTAGGGTAATAATTCAAGTGGTGCAATAATTCAGTTGATATTCAGGACAACAATTATTATTCTTTTACCTACAATTTTGTAATTATTCGTAACAAAAAATGTATTTAAGGATCTCTCCCATGTAAATGTAAGTTGTGAATATTTTACAATTTTAAATTGTAATTAAATAATTATAATGCAATCACTACCAAATATATATGCATCCCAAGTTTTAACTTTTTTATTTGTGCGTGTTAGGAGGGAGAAATTCTTAAAAGGTCTTTTTTTCTTTTTTCGACTTTCGAAAGAATTTTTTCAAAACACCTTTTAAATTAATATAAAGCATAAGTTAAAGTAGAATCGACTTTTTGTAAAAGCTTATATTTAATGTATCATCAGTGAATAATTTTGTACATTATCAATAAATCAAATAATATTATTTTATTAATAAATAATTATGAACTCTTAAAATAAATATAATATTTTTTAAAAAATTTTACTCATTAATAAAATTATATCATCTGATTTATTTCATTAATAAAATGATATTATTTAATTCACTTACAGTATATAAAATTTGTATATTAATAATATATAAAAATAAATTTATTTTTTATAATTCTCTAAGATAAACTGGTGGATCGAGCGTTAAATCGCAAGAGTCGGCATGCTTGCCTGCAGATTAGATCGAGAGCCTCGCTTTGTATGAAACTAACTATAAAGAGCAAACTTGGCCAAGAGAGAAATCTCACTTTCTTCCTGTCAATCTTAATTCCTTCAATCGACTATCGCAGTTTAAGGTATGTTTGTGTAATCTAAGAGATATTTGCATATATGAAACATGGTTATATTTTTGTGATCTAACTGTCGGTTATTAATCAACAAAAATTCAATTTCTCTCTTTATTTCTCTTACTTTTATTTATCCATTTATTTTTTAGAAAGAATGGCTCCAAGAAAGGAAAGTGAACTGAAAGTTTCTCGAAAGAAACATCCCAAGTTGTTGGAGAGAAGGGTTGAGGTATTTTCACTTGGTAAATGTTTTTTAAACATTTTTCTTTGGTTGATCTCACTTCGTTTTTTCTCTTGCTTTGAACTTTTTGTTCGTGTAAAGAAAAATGGGATGAAAGAGTACTTGAGTCGTTTACAAGGAGTCCAGAAAAAGCTGGTGGAAAAACAGTCGAAGCTGAAGGCAAAGCTGAACCTGGCGGAACATAGCAGTCCAGGACAAGGCAAACAAACAATGGACCAACTCCGCCAAGTGAATCTTCGGCTAGCAAGGTTCAATGCTTGGGTTCAAATTTATATACAAACTAAGCTAGCTGACCCTGCCTGGGATGCTGCAAACTCCCGTAACTAATAGCTAGCCTTTCCCATATATGTATGGTTAGTCAAATGCATGCATCTTCCCTTCACGTGTCAGATAATATCCTATGATGATTCGATCATTCATAATTTTGTTCCTTCTTTTTGTAGGGATCTCAAGAAGAGACGATTAATAGGAAGAATAAAAGGAAAACTTCGGTTGGCAGTCATGTGTGGTTTTATTTTGATCGATCCTTTAATTATGGTGTGGCAGAGATTCTGTGATGCCTTGTTACATGTGTAGACCTTTATATGTAATAAACTATCCTCTTAATTAGTCAAAAAAGAAAAAAAAAAAACAAATTGCATGTCTTCCAATATCAGCATTTATTGAAAGATGAGTTGATCAATTATTTGGCTCAAGGGCAGATTCGGTACATGATGAAACTCATCATTTCTAAAATTATTATTAGCAGATTTTATATATGATAACGTTTTGTTGAAGATCTATGTCTACAATTTCACTTCAATAAAAATGGGTTTTAAAGACAAAATACCTCTTTCAAGTTAAAAACTAGTTGTAATCAAAAGCTAATTTAGATGCAACATATAATATTTAGATATACCTTTCGCATACTTATCATAATGAATTTCATATTAAGTCATAACCATTTCAAATTTCACAGCGAGTTATAGCTGTATCTTATATATTTCATCAATCTCATATAGTTACCCGTAACTATGATTTATGTATAATTTGATCATTGCCAATATTAAGACAATCTACTAATAAAGAAAAATGTTATAATACATGAGTTTAGAAGACATAGATATATGGATTCGTAAGGTTGTACTTAGACCTTGAAAAATTAAATTGTCATTGTAGCTCGTTTGAAATAGTGAATGGCTTAAAAAATCCTGGAATTTTTCATTTAATTCCCTACTCCTTTAAAAGGATGTTTGCAACTTGCAGCAAACATTTACTTCGTTATTTATTTAGTTCTACTGAAGATTTTAGAAATGTGAGAAGATTTCGAATCTTATATTTACTTCCTAAACAACGATTGACTATCATAAATCGAGAAAAATGGTGAGAAACCTAAACATGTTCATACATATATGTATGCACGTATATGCGTAAAAATGCGTGCGTAAAGAAAGTGATTCAGAGGAGCAAGATGGACCAATCAAAGAATCAAGACAAGCAATGCTAAGGAGGCAAAAAAGGAGATAAAAGAGGAGGTGGGGAGAGGGGGAGAACAGAGAAAGAGAAAGGGAAGGGAAGGGAGGAGACCAGAGGGAAAATGAAGGGATGCTGGTGGAGAGAAAGGAGAAGTGTCATCTGCAATATGATTCTCCAAACATCCTTTTTCTTTTCTCTAATGTATGAAATGTTGATGGACTTTGATGATATGTCTAACAAAATCCAAGTAATCTTCCTCTATATATACCATAAATTCTTAAATGTAAAACTGAATTTCTTAATTGACCCAATAATCGAAGTTGTTGTGCATAAAATAAATGCGTCCCCATTAATCTATTTTCTATCTCGCTGTCCCTCCCTAACCTTAATTGATGCCTTTCTCTTCTCATTATCACACAAAATTGATTCGAATCTGATCAATTTTGTCCTTAGTCCGCAAAACCAACCAATCAAAATATTATTTTTTTAGAAAAAAATTCTAAATAATTAAGCTGATGTTAGAAGGTAGATAGGATGGAATTTATTATTGGCAAATGGCGGGCCGCAAGGAGTCGAACGATTGTCGGTGAATCCGCGTAGGGCAGCGAGCAAAATCGCACGTTCACTCACGACAGTCAAGTAATTACGGCAAAAGCAGCGCATTTTAGCAGCGGATGGATGGAATATTCGTTTCTTAATAATCAAGTAAAGAAAAAACATAACGGGAGCTCTCAAGTCAATGCGCAAAGTTGTTCCACACTTTGTAGTGGATCCCATTTGAAAAGGAAAAGAATAACAAAAAAAAAAAGAAAAAAAAGACTAATTGAAAGCCACGATTCACGCGTGGGGTTTTGGGATAAAATTTTTTAAAAAATAAAACTAATAAAAAAAACGTCTTTAACAAAAAAAAAGTACAATAAAAAGTATGACTAAATTAAAATGAAACTGTAACGTGATTGAGTAATTTGATCAGAAATATATAAATTTCACATATATCTATGAAAATTTCATTATGAAAAAGTAAAAAAAAAAATTTTTATTTGCAAAAATTTTTTTATAATATTTTTTGTTTTTCTTTTGTAATTTTGTTGGATTAATTGTTAAATTATATTTATTTTTATCTACTTAATTTCATTTTAGTCTGTAAAATGCATTACAATTGATTTATATAACTTCTTTAAAGGTTAGGGTCAAGTTAGAATTTTTAGTTTTTTTCTTAAATAAACTTAGATTTTTTAGTTAATCTTAATTATGTAATATTAATATATTGTTTAATTTCTAAATAGACTGCTTAATTTATTTAGCATATCATTTTCTAATTAAGTATTGTGTCACTCATTTGGTTTAAATTAATCGATTAGACTAGGCACCTAGGCCTGATTAACTTTTTATATATTTTATCTAAAACCAGATTTGATTACTCAGGCTTAGATGTTCGATATTTTTTTCAAAATATATTAAATTATTAAGAAATATTAAAATATTATCATTTGAATATTTTTAAATATATTTTAAAATAAAAATAAATTTTATTAATAAAATAAAATTTTGAATTAAATTCTAACTTTAAAATTCATATCTAAAATTCGATCTATTAATAGATCTAACTCAAATACATTAATTATTAATTAGATTTGAGTTAATATATTCAACCTAATGAATACGATCCTTCCTGTTAACATTGCTAAATATTATAAGTTAATTGAAATGGTATGGAAGAAGATTAGGCTCATCTATTACCTTTTCTAACTTAGCAAACAAGTTTAGACTTCCATACGATTTGAAATATTATTATATGAATAAATAATTGACTCGATTCAATTTGTGGGAACAGGAGTCAGGACGAGTGAGGCCCGATTTTACCTAGGAATTAAGTCGTTTGCATACCAAAATAGTTCATCTTCCTTAATCATGTTTTTTTTTTATATAGTTTATTAAATCTTTTTATTTTTTTATTAATAATTCTTAATAAATAAATATAGTTAATTAAAAATGAGAAGATCTTATCTAATTTTATTAAAATCTTAAAAATCTTCCATAAAAACTTTAAATAACTGTTTAACCACATTAACCCAAAAAAATTTCACACATAAATAATTATTTTAATTATTTTAATTCTCATATTTATTTCATATTATAATTAAACTTATCAATGAATTTTATTAGATTTTTAAACCATTAATTAATAATAACTCATTTATTGAAAATTTCTAACGTAATGAAGAGACTGGTCAAAAAAATTATTTTTTGATGCAGAGGAAGATAGAGTGAAACAAGGAGAAGGAAAGAAGATGCGGGCAAAATACAAAATTAACCCTCAAATCATTTTTAATATCAAAACTGATTTTATTTTAAATTAAAAAGAGATAGCTCTAATTATATGTATGGATATGTATAAATGGATCTATCTATACGTTATATTAAAATCATTTACGAGACTTGTTAAATTGCTACCATGTGTCAGTCATAAGCAATTTCTTTTTATTATTATTAATTTTTTTCTTTTCTTTTTATCTATATAATAATATATATACTACACTATTAAAACTACCCTTTTGTGGTGATTCTAAAATTATAAAAAAAAAAAAAAAAAACCAGAAACAAATCTAAAATAGTCATCAAAAGAATTCGTAGCCTACATAGCCCCAATAGAAAACAAAAAAATGCAAACATAAATAAAAAAATACAAATCCAAAATTGAAAAAGCCAAGCATTAAAAAAAAAATTTGAATTCAAACAATACCCAAAAACTAATCAGACGATAGACGGTGGCGGCATAGACCACGTCGGTGACCAGAAACTAGGTGAAAGGCGGCGGTAAGAGATTGTATTTAGAGAGGGATGGATATTTAGAGACAGAAATTAATGTGAGAGAAAGTGAAAGGGAAAAATAAAAAATATATCTTTCGTGACATGTCAGCGATCTGGGTGCTTTAATACTATTGGCGGCGTGAGTCCTGAGCTTTTCCTTTCCAGATTCCCCTCTCCATCTTTTGTGTTTCCTATGACGTTTGTGCTTTCTGCTTTCTTAGGTTGGGCATTGGGCTAAATAATAAAATTATGAATGATTGAGATTTAATGGGCAGTTTCCCAACCAATACAAGGGTAATCCATTTAGTATTGAGACTTATTGCACGGCCTGCCTATGCTATAAAAAATTATTGTTATTTGCTTAAGACCACATATTAAAATCTTAAGATTATAAGCAAATTAATGACAAGAAATAAAATAAAATTTTTTTATTAATAATTTTTTATTTCATAGTTTATGTAAAAATATTAAATGGGCTTATTATTATATATTTTGTGTAATGACAAGAGAATTTTATGAAATTTTAATTATAAATTAATAAAAATTATTAATATTTATATTTATATTAAATATTTTTACATAAAAAATATATAAAAAGTATTTTTTATTGCTACCTTACCATACTCATGTCTGTATTTTTTAAAAATTACTGTATCATTGTATCCGTTTTATATCATATGGAATTGTATGTCCATGTCCATACTTCCTAAAGTTTTATATATATTTATATAGAAAATGATTTTTGGTTTGTTTAAAGATTAAAGAACTACTGCACTGAGATCAAAAGTTTGAGCAAGAAACCAACACAGTAACGAACAAAGAGCCAACTTGACAGAAACAAATAGAGAAATCAAGATTCAAAGACAGAAGCTGATAGAGATCCAAAAACAAGTGAAAAGGTTTTTTTTTTCTTTTAATCAGATAATACTTCATTAATAATAAAGTAAAATCAAGAGGACAAAAAGATGAAAGAAGACGGTTCGTCCAGAGTCTCTGTTCCTCAACCTATAACTCAAATTTAGCTAATTCATGAAATAGATTATTAGCCGCTCTATTTGTCTGCCTAAAGAAACAATACTGAAAACCGGATGTTTGTATCCTGAAGCACATTATTCCCTGCCAAATATGATTCGGCCGCGTGATCAATCTCCTTTATTGCTGTCAAAGAATACTCTCCACAATTATCCTATCCACAGCCTGTTCGTATGCAAGTTGTAATCCCCGCAGAATTGCTCCCACCTCCGCATATAGTAGGCTTTCAATCCAATCAACTCGAGCCACTGCTAAAAATACTACACTTTTATTGGAGTCTCTAAGAACAGCTCCCAAACCTGCCTCTTTTGTGATAGCTTTAAAAGATGCATCTACATTAAGCTCAAGCATATCCTGCTCGGGAGGTTGCCAATTATTTTGCTAACACTTTATTATTATGGCATCAGGTTGGTTATCCCATACAAGCCTATCCCCTAACAAACAACGAGCTTTCCCCACCAAAGTCTTTCTCATAGAGCATATTCCTTGATGAATACATTTGTTCCTATTAGTCCAAAGTAGCCAAGACTATATACATGCATACCTCCAAGGATTCTGCCTATGATGCCTTGGTTAAGACGGTAAACCAAAAATCTTCAGGCGAGCTGTTATTAGGTACGAAGCCGGCCATTAAACTCACCTCACTCCAGATCATACGGTTAACATAACATTCAACAAAGACAAGGTGGCAAGATTGATCATAGCTACCACATACCGAACAATAATTCTCCAGCTGCAAACCTCTACTAATCAGTCTCTCATTAATTGGCAAGAAATCATGTATTAATCTCTAGAAAAAACACCTTCACCTTTGGAGGTGCTTTAGCGGACCAGAGAAGCCTCCAAATTGGATGCCTTTGATTTCTGTTCAACCCATTTCCATCAATCACCTCTCTGGCTGTGCAATAAGCGGATTTTACCATAAAATTCCCAAGCAAAGAATCATACAAAATGAGGACACCTCAAACGAAATACTGAATTAACGTATGTGCAAGATTCTCGCCGCATCCTCTGACGAAAAAATGCTCGTCAATAGTATCGGCTCTCCAGGACTTTCTTTCTTGATCTATTAAGATAATCACATTCATTATTTCAACGGTGTGGGCCGTTGGCCAACTGGTTGACCAACTTTCAAATTGCAACAACCATGTTTTGTTTTTCATTCTTTTTTTACAGTAAAACTGTAAATGTAAAAGTTAAAATTTTGAATTTCTTTCTTGTTGAAGTCCTTTTGTTCTACGTAACTAATTAATCAACCGAAGCTTATCCTATAAGAACCCCAGGGGTATAAACACATTGAACTCCCATTTTTCTTATGCAGACAGGCTGATGATTCATGGCTGCAAGCAAGGAAATTGAACCGAAAGCTTCCCCAAAAGGCAAATCCTTTTTTTGCTTTGGTTTCTCTCATTTCTTTTGTGATGAATCTCATTTTGCCCTGCTTTCAACTCTGTTTGCTGTAACAAAACTATTGAATGATAAGGAGAAAAAGGAGAAGGAAAAAGTGAAACGATTGGGAAAAGTCCAAGTAGATCTGACAGCAGAAATGAAACTCTGGAACTTAGAGCAAAGTCCTGGAGGCCTTAAACTGTAAATATGGCTTATTTGGGTCATGTTCAGTCTATGGTCTTATACGATTTGCATTTATGTTCCATGTGGTTCATTTCTGCTGTCAGCGATTTACTTTTTTCTTATTCTTTTTCTTCTTATCGTTAAAATGGCTTTGATACTGCAAACACAAAGATCTTCAGTTTAAGGTTTTCTCCGTTGGAACTTTCGGTTCACTTTCCTTTCATGCAAATATGAACAAATTTCTCTCATCCCCCGCAAACATCAGAGTCAAACCAACAGTTTTGAAGCGAAGAAGATGATCATTTAGAAACAGGGTAAGATGATTTACAGGAAGGCTATTAGCTCTTTTTCTTATGTTTTGGCAGCTTTAGTTTCTTTTTTGTTTGTATTTGGGGGGTGGGTTTGAGATGCCTATGATTTGTGATAAGCATTAGTAGTTACCTAACAAAATTTATGAATTCGTAGTTAAGAATATCATAAATAATAAAATAATTATGAAAGTCATGTTTGTTGTAACAGTTTTGAGATCACCAACATAAATAAGTTTTAAAATCGAAATAAATGAAAAAAATTATCACTAATCTTTGTTAGGATATGAGTGATCATCTAAAAGTTTATCCTTTTAATAAAATTATAAAAACGAGTTTAAAGTTTATCAAAAAGATAAATTTTGATCTACAAAAAATTAAGTTGGATCCGAGAGTCGATTACATGTGAAAAAGGATTAGCACCACCACAACGTTCATAAATTGATACCATTAATTACGTGCTATTTTCGATATTGGATAAAAATGATTTTAATTTTAAATTTAACACTAATTCCTTTCATTTGAAAAAATAAAATTTTGTTAAATATTTTTATTTGAAAATATTGAAAAAATATTTAAGTTACAGAATTATCTTAAAATTCTTCAACATCTAGACATAATTTAAAATAATTTTTTTCGCTTAAGATTTAACACAATAATCTTTAAAATAAAATAACAATCTTTATAAAAAATAATTGTTAGTGACTTTTCAACATCTAAGCAGAGTATCAAAAATTATTTCTTTCGAATTTTATTTTTATTTTATTTTATAATATCACAAAAAAAAATTTTTATTTTTTTTAATTTTTTATACTATTATTTTTGTTATTTTAAGTTTTTATATTTATGCATGATAAATATTTAAATTTATTAGGATAAATATCTAATTATTTTTTAATAATAATAAAATGAAAACAATATAGGATAACAACTAAAAAATATTTAAATAATAATAATAATAAAATAATTTTTTTATTTTTTCTGCCTAGATGTTGGAGGGAATAAAAAAATTTTTCTAAAGAAATAATTTCGACTAGAGGTTGAAAAATTATTATTATAAAAAAAATTACTAAATAAGTTAATAATTTTGATAAGTTTTCATAAAAAAAACATTTTAAAATAATAAAAAAAAATTTTAAAATTAATTTAAGAAACATAATAATTTTTTTAATTAAATTTTTTTATTATTTTAAAATGTTTTTTTTTGTTTAAAATCTTTTTTTTTATGAAAACTTATCAAAATTATTAACTTATTTAGTAATTTTTTTATAATAATAATTCCCCAACCTCTAGGCGGAATTATTTCTTTAGAAAAATATTTTTTATTCCCTCCAACATCTAGGCAGAAAAAATAAAAAGATTATTTCATTATTATTATTATTTTAGTTATTATTCTATATTATTTTCATTTTATTATTATTAAAAAATAATTAGATATTTATCATAATAAATTTAAACATTTATCATGCACAAATATAAAAACTTAAAATAACAAAAATAATAGTATAAAAAAATTAAAAAAATTTTTTTTACTTGAATCGGACCGATTAATGCTGGTTTGTGTCGATCTGATCGGTTCGGTGGTTCAATCAACAATTCAGCGTTCCAACGAGTCGGATCGATTTACTAGCGGTTCGTCTAAACCGGTTCAAGGCTGGCTAAAACAGACCGTCAGGTCGGGTTGCGTGGATCTCGAGTCGGGTTCAGTTCACGCGCGAATCTTCTATGCTTGAAACAACGTCGTTTTGATCCTATCCTCAAAACGACGTCGTTTTGATCATATGCTCAAAACGACGTCATTTTGCCCCTATGTTTTCTATAAAAATCAGATTTTTTTTTTCTTAGTTCATTTCATTTCACAGAAAAAAAAAAGCTTTAGGGGTTCTCTGGCTTTCTTCGGAATCCAACGTCGTGCACTCCGTCGACCGCCATGTGAGTCACTGCCGGCGGTGGTCGTCGGTGATCGGAAGGGGTCAGAAAGTCACCAAAATTTCTCTCGACGCCCTCTTTCTGAATCCGACTTTCGTTTGGCCTGAAAGAGCTTTGATAGTCGCGAATCGATTTTCAAAATTTTTGATCTACCTATTTTTCTTTTTCTTTTTTTTTTTTTTCGAACAACTTAAACTGATGATTTCTCTTTCTTGTTTCAGGCGACTGTGGCACTGAGGTTCCTCCTTGTTAGGAGGATTGTGTTTTTTTTGTGTAAATCTGTTTCGTTTTTCTGTTTGGGGTATTTGGAGGGTTGTTTGAAATTTTGAGTTTTTTATGTGTGAGAATGAGGGTTCTGTCTGGGGCTGTTGAGAGTATTTTGAGGGGGGTAGTTCGTCGGAGCTCGAGGGTTTTCGTGGAGGTAGATTGAATAGGCTTTTTTTTTTTTTTTTCAGATAGTGTAGAGAGTTTGAAGGGGAAGGATTTAGGATTTTAAAGAGCTTAAAATAGGGGATCTGGGTGGCTGTAGGGTGGAGGTAGGTGGGCTAAACAGGGAGCTGGTCGGGGGTTGGACAAAGGCAGCAACGACGTCGTACCAACCCCTGGTTTCTGTCTCATTTTCCCTTTTTTTTTCTTTTTTTTTTCTTTTTTAAATTTAATTAATTTTTTTTAATTATTATATATATTTTAAATATTTTATTATTATTATTATTATTATTATTATTATTAAACTAAAATGGAAACGGTAGACTCGAACAAAATCGGTGTTTACAGTTGTCCCTCTTTGCACATTACTGAAAATCAAGAATAGGGCAAAAACAAAGACAATGATTTTGTCCGAAAGTAAATCATAGATTTTTTTTTATAGGTCAGGTCAAGTGATAAAGAAAACGACATCGTGAGTTGAAAAATAAAGAATCGACTAAGGCAACACCGAAAGTCAAATAATAAAGAAGGTGATCGGGATGACACCGCGAGTCAAAGAATAACAAGATCCAGATTGAACGTGGATTGAATCACCAATCAAAAACAAAGAGATCGAGATAAACCACGAGTAAAAGAAATACTAAGGATTAGGATTAAACCGTGAATCAGAGAATAAAGAGATCGAGATTAAATCATAAATTAAAAAAAATGACATTAACTTGAATTGAATCACAAGTAAGAAAATAAAGAGACCAGGATTAAACCACGAGTCAGAAGATAACAACAATCGAGATTAAACTGTGATTTTAAATTAAAGAGATCGAGATTGAATCACGAATCAGAGAATAAAGAGATTGAGATTAAATCGCGAGTCAAAGGATAACAACAATCAAGATTAATTACGACTTTGAATTAAATGGATCGAGATTGAACCACAAATCGAAAAATAAAAAGATCGGGATTAAACAGTGAGTCAAAAGATACAACAATCGAGATTAAACTGCGACTTTGAATTAAAGAGATCGGGATTGAACCGCGAATCAGAGAATAAAAAGATTGAAATTAAATCGCGAGTCAAAAAATGACGTTAACAAGTAAAAAAATAAAATGATTGAGATTAAACCACGAGTGAGAAAAATAAAAACGACTAGGATTAAACCATGAGTCAGGAAAACTATAAAAATGATCGGGATTAAACCACGAGTAAGAAAAATAAAAACGACTGAGATTAAACCATGAGTCAAAAAAACTATAGAAATGATCGGGATTAAACCACGAGTCAAAAAATGAAGATGACTGGGACTAAATCGTAAGTCAGAGAATTAATGAAATGATCGGGATTAAACCACGAGCCAAAGATTAAAGATAACTGAGACTGAACCGTAAGTCAAGAAATTAATGAAATGATCGAGATTAAACCACAAGCCAAAGATCAAAGATGACTAGGACTGAACCGCAAGTCGAAGAACTATATAAGACTGAGCTGTGAATTGAGAAATAGGAGATTGGGTACTCTATAGAACAACATTTTTTATTTTAAAGATTGTGCTAACATACCATCTTCAAGGCCATCATCTTTGTTTCGAGAAAAAAAATGTTGATTCTTCTTGATGTCTCATAAAGAAACCTTTTATGCAACTTATCGTGAGGCATGTAATGCTTACAATGATTGTGATGAATGAAAAGACAAAGATGCCGTCAACGAATTATATCATGCATTTCATCCAAGTTAATTCAACTTTTGGTTCAATTCTTTCAAACTTTAAAAGCCACTTCTAGTAATCTCGTCCTTTTAAATCTCTCAATTTTCGATCAAAATTCTCTATCTCATGACGGACCCATCTGGCTTTTAGTCGCTCTAAAATCTTTTTTTTCTTTATCCCTTTTCTCTTCTTTGTCTTCAGTAATCAATCGATTTCATTTCATTCTTTTTGCCCTCATATTACTATTTTTGACATCCTCATATTGCATTCTCTTTTCGAGCGATGCATCGGTCTATTATAAACTTTATCAGTGAATATCTTAATTTAAAATGACAAATGCAATGATTTCAGGTTTAAAGTTGGGTGTGCAATACGATCAGTAATAGGGTATTTCGGGTTTAGAAAGATAAACCTTTCGAGACATAAAGAACAGTTGACTCAAAAGTATTTCAAGAATCAAATATCAATTCTCTAAATAATGAACATTTAGACAACTTCGGCCTACTCAAACTAGGTCGTTTCCAAAACCTCGTTACATTTGTGATCTTGTCACCTATGATTTCATATGACCAATCCTTGCCCCATATCTGTGACTAATGAGAACTTACCCCCTAAAAGTCATCTCTTTTAATTCTAGTGACAATTCGTCCATTCGATGCCACTCCTTCATTTTCTAAAAAACTTTCTTCGAGCTTCATCTTCATTCAAGTCGCCTTTACAAGTTTTCAGCTTAAATGACCCCCTTTGACTTAAATTGCCCTTTTCGGGTTTTCAATCTGAATCACTTCCTTTCTCATTTTTTTTCATTTTTTTTGTTTTTGTTTTTTTTATCTTTTTATATTTTTTTGTTTTTTTTTAAGCAAAATATTTCTTGACAATGTCTGAATTTACAGGATTTGGTAATTCATCTTCATCCATTTCTGTAAGGATCAGAGCTCCACCAGAAAAAACTTTTTTTACCACTTATGGACCTTCTAATTGGGCGTCCATTTTCCTCTATTGTCATGCTGATATGGCAAGATCCTTTTCTAAACCAATTCGCCCTCACGAAAGCATCGGGGTCTTATTTTTTTGTCATGTGCTCGGATGATTTTTCTTTGATACATTTGTCCATGACTGAATGCTGAGAGCTTTTTCTCTTCAATAAGATTCAGTTGCTCGAAATGATCCTGAACCCATTCTGCCTCATCCAATTTTATCTCCATCAACACCTTCAGAGAAGAAATTTCCACTTTAATTGACAGTACAACTTCCATCCCATACACTAGTGAAAACGGGGTGGCCCCTGTGGAGGTTCGGATTGATGTTCTATAGGCAAGCAAAGCAAAAGGTAACTTTTCATGCCAATCCTTATATGTGTTAGTCATTTTTCCCAATATTCTCTTGATGTTCTTATTCGCAGCTTCCACTGCACCATTCATTTTTGGGCAAAATAGTGCTGAATGATAATGCTTGATCTTAAACTGTGCACACAATTCTTTCATCATTTTATTATTTAAATTGCTAGCATTATCTGAGATAATCCTTTTCGGGAGACCATACCGATATATTTTCTCTCTTTTTTATAAATCTACACACCACTGATCGTGTAATACTAGCATACAAAGCTGCTTTCACCCATTTTGTAAAATAATCGATTACCACAAAGATAAATCGATGCCCATTTGAAGCTTTAGGGGTTATGGGTCCGATCACATCCATTCCTCACATCGAGAAAGGTCACGATGGCATCAAGACATGTAGCGAGACTGAAAGAGAATGAATTTTATCTGCATAAATTTAGCATTTATGACACTTCCTAGCATAACTGATGTAATTATTTTCCATTGTAGACCAGTAGTAACCAGCTCTCATGATCTATTTGGCCATCATATGCCCATTAGCATGTGTTTCACAAATTTTTTCGTGTACTTTTTCAAGTATCATACTCGCTTCCACAGCATCGACACACTTTAGCAAAATCTGATCTCGACTCTTTTTATACAAGATTTCTCCATTAAGCATAAAACTTGCTGCTAATCTTCGAATAACCCTCTTATCATTTTTTGAAGCCTGCTCTAGGTAGTTTTGACACTTGATATGCTGTACAATGTCATAGTACTATGGTTGTCGATCTACCTCTTCTTTCACACTTGAATAGTGGGTTGGTGAAACTTTCACTTGTACTCTAATGGGCTGGATTCTCATACTATTATTTAACTTAAACATTGCTGTCAAAGTAGCCAAGGAATCAGCAATCTGGTTTTCTTCTCGAGAAACATGCTGAAATTGAATCTTTTTAAAATGTTTCCTCAAGCCAGCTATGTACTTTTGGTATAACACTAGTTTCGAATCTTTGGTCTCCCATTCACCTTTTAGTTGATAAATTACCAAGGCTAAATCCCCATATACTTCTAGTATTTCAATTTTCTTTTCAATAGCCATCTGTAACCCATGACACATGTCTCATATTCCGTGATATTGTTTGTGCAATTGAAATCTAACCTTACGGTACATGGGTAATAATTTTCTTCTAAGGATATTAGCACTGTTCCAATGCCATGCCCCATTATATTAGATGCTTCGTCGAAAAACATTTTTGATACTTCTCTTACAGGCTCTTTATCTTCATCCTGCAAGATTCCCATCAAATCTTCATCTAAAAACTCAAACTTCATAGGTTTATAATCTTCTGTAGTTCAATCAGCAAAAAAATCAACAATTGCACTCCCTTTTATGAATTTTTGTGTCACATAGATAATATCATATTCTGAGAGCATGACTTGTCATCTCGCTAGCCTGCCTGATAAAAATGGTTTTTCAAAAATGTACTTGAAGGGATCCAATTTTGATATTAACCACATCGTATGGTAAAGCATGTATTACCTGAGTCTACGAGTAGTTCAAGCTAGGGCACAACATATTTTTTTATTTGAGGGTACTCGACCTCGTACTCTGTAAATTTTTTACTCAAATAGTATATAGCATGCTTTTTCTTGCCAGTTTCATCTCTTTGCCCCAATACACACCCCATCGATTTTTCTTGAATCATTAGATATAAAATCAAGGGTCTTCCTACAACTGGTGGAACCAACACTGGTGGGCTTATCAAATATTCTTTAATATTTCCAAATACATTTTAGAATTCTTCATCCCATTCACCAGGATTATTTTTGCGAAGTAACCTGAAGATTGGATCACATTTCGAAGAAAGTTGAGATATGAGCGAGAAATATAATTCAATCGCCCCAAAAAGCCTTTCACTTCCCTTTGCGTGCATGGTGCTGACAACTCTTGAATTGCTTGAATTTTATCAGGGTCTACTTCTATATCTCTTTCACTGACTATAAACCCTAACAATTTTTTAAATTTAACATCAAAAGTACATTTGACTGAATTCAGCTTGAGCTGGTATCTTTGTAATCTTTCAAAGAGCTTTCTGAGACTAACAACATGATCTTCACTTTCTTGAGACTTAGCTATCATATCATCAATATATACCTCTATCTCCTTATGCATCATATCATGAAAGAGAGTGACCATCGCCCTTTGATATGTGGCACCAGCATTCTTTAGCCCAAAAGGTGTAACTTTATAGCAAATCATGCCTCACATTGTCACAAATATAGTTTTCTCCATATCTTCATAGCCATTTTGATCTGATTGTAGCTAGAGAACCTATCCATGAATGAAAAAGTGGAATGCTTAGCAGTGTTATCTACAAGGGTATCAATATGTAGCAATGAAAAATTATCTTTTGGGCTAGCCCTATTTAAATCTCGATAGTCCACACACGTTCTAACTTTTCTATCTTTCTTGAGAATTGAGACATATTGGCTACCCATCAGGGTACTTGGCTACTTCTAAGAAACCAACGTCCAATTACTTTTTTACTTCTTCTTTTATCTTCAGTAACATTTCTGGCTTCATGTGTCTCAACTTCTACTGTACTGGTCGACATTCTGATTTTAAAAGCAAACTATGCTCAACCATCTCTGTGTTAAGTCTTGACATATTTTGATAAGACTATGCAAATACATCCATGTACTTTTGCAGCAGATTCACTAACTTTTGCTTCTCAATCGGTGATAGTGAAGTACCGATCTTAACTTTTTTCTTATTGTCACCATCTCTCAAATTTAATGGGTTAGTTGATTCTTGGTGGTGTTCTATAATTTTTTTTCTCTTGTTTCATCCATTTTAACAGATCATGAGGTAAATCATAGTCTTTTGAATCAACATCGTTATCAAGCTCGCTAATGTAAGTCAAATTTTCAAAATCAAACCCAGTGTTATTGTTTTGGTCATCCATAATGTTCATTATTAAAAAACCTGAAAATGGGTATAATCACAAAGAAACATATATTGATCTTGGCAAAGGCAAAGAGAATGATAATGAAAGAAAGAAAATTGAAAAATAGAGAACATGGTATAAGTGAAATGCATTGCATTCATCATTTTATTAAGACAATGAAAATAAGCTCATACACTTAACCTCTGTATGCTCTTGGGCAAAAGCAATTGAAATTTTCGAGTTAAAAGGTTCAAGGATAACAAAAATGGTACACCATTCTTCGAGTCTCCTAAAAAGAAAAAAAGATCTTTTCATCTTGCATGACTCCTTCATCTGCTTCCACTTGAAATCACGAGAAAGCTTCCTCTAATCCCATTACCAATCCCCCTTGTTCAACTTCTGTCAACCCATGATAGACATACTTGGCTGAACGAAAGGTTTCATACAAATAAGGGAACACCATTTTTCCATCAATCAAATTTTGCCCTTTGAGACGTGCCATTCTTTTTTCTTTCTTCTCTAGCATTACATTCTTTTTATCAGCAGTCGTAGGCTTATAGCCTAACCCCTATCTTTCTTTATTTTCAATTGGGCGTGGTGCTCTTGCGATTCCTTGTAGAGCTTTCCTTAAGCCTTGTTCGACTCGTCAACCCTTACCAGTAGTCTGCTTGATCACCATATTCGTAGCTTTTGACAATTGAGGGATCGACATCCTTGATCCTTCTTTTACGTAAATAGCATTTGCTACTTCAAAAGCTTTGAAAGAACATTCAATCGCTTCTTCTGCTACTCAACGTAAGGAGTTGTTAAGGTCTTTGTTACCAATAAATCCTCCTCACCATCCACACTGACTTATTTTTCTTCTATGACGAATTTTACCTTTTGATGTAAAAAAAAGGTACAACTCCGATCGTGTAAATCCAAGGTCTTTCAAGTAGATAACTATATGAAAGAGTTATGTCCATTACTTGAAATATAATATTAAAGGTACAAAGACCGATCTATAATGGGATCTCTATATCGTCAATTACCTCTCTTCGTGCCCCGTCAAACACTCTTACAATCATATGGCTATTCTTCATGTGAGAGAGATCCACTAAAAGCTTTGACAATGTCGTCAGAGGCATAACATTAATAGATGATCCATTACCAATCAGCACTTTGACCATAGTGTGGGAGTTACACTTGACAATAACATGTAAAGCCTTAACACTACCACATCCTTCCGGGGGTATTTCATCATCATTGAAAGTGATAAAATTCAAGGTTATAATATTCCTAACCATGTGATCTACCTTCTCAATAGAAATGTTATGCTTGACATAAGCTTGGTTGAACATTTTCAGTAAAGTATTCATATGCGACTTAGAATTCAATAGTAACGACAGTAAGGAAATACGAGCTGACAGTTTATTTAACTGGTCAATCACACTATACTCACTGTGTTTAATGATCTTTAGAAACTCACAAGCTTCTTTTTTTTATACTGGTTTGTTAACTTGCACTTTCGAGCTTACCACCGATTGAGAATCTTGGCTTTCCCTTTTATCTTCTTCTCCTATCTTGCCTTTTCCTTTCCTGGCCTTTTCTGACATTTCAAGAGTATAAATTCAACCACTTCGGGTCATTCTTCCTATTCTCGCTATGTTGGAGGTATTCTTCGCGCCTGAATTATTCGAGGTCATATTAGGCCCTCGTATCACTACATTATAATCGTATCTCTATGGGACTGCTTTGTCGATCTGATAAGAGAATACACTAGGGACACAAATGGTCATTGATATCTTGAAAGAGGAGATGATTTTCTCATTTAGGGGCTCTAGTTTCTCATCATAGTAGACAGTGAGAGGTTTGGGGATAAAAAGCTTGTCAAGACGCTCGTCACCCACTGTATTCACATTATTTCCATCCATTCATCATAGAACTCAATGATGGCCTTATCCATCAAGCTCTGCAACGTTCGCTTAAAGACCTCACAACTTTGGATCAAATGTCTAATTGTTTTCCCATGATATTTACAAAAATGGTCAGGGTTTTCATGACTTTCGTTGTCATCCAAAAATAATGGCTGAATCATGTCCGTCTCATACAAATAGTCATACACCCGTTTAAAAAAGATCTTCACTTCATCCGTGCATCTTTTGATCT